TGAAATATCGCGATATTTCAGTGTATCGATATTTTCTTACACCACTAATCAAAAGTATGTCTATGTAATATTATAATTTTCTGAGACAACGAATTTTGGTTTTTCATTTTTTTCCCAGTAAGAGGTTTTTATTTAATAGAATTTTTGGACAAAAAAAAATCGCAATATATCACCTTGCTTACAGTATCGCAATATATCGGGATATATCGTATCGTGACCCCTCTGTCATGATACATATGTATCGTATCGCCAAATTCTTGCCAATACACAGCCCTAGTTAGTTGCTTTATAATTGTGATTTATAGTTTCTAGCACTTTTAGCCTTTGTTGAACTTTAGCATGAATTATCTGCAGGAACTTGTATTTGCCAATGGTGGTGCCTCCATATTTCTCTGAAAATGATCTGTCCCTCCCTTATTACTCATCATAACCTCTAACTGGGCTGTGTAGTATGGACAGCCGTTTCATTCAAAATACAATAAGTACATAAATAAATAAATAAATAAATAAATAAATAAATAAATAAAAAGACATGCTAAAAATATATTATAATATATTAATTTTGTTTTTTTTTTCCTGGGGACATATTTTTGTATTTGATGGAATATTTATTTATTTATTTATTTGTGTTTTATTCTGAATGAAATGGCTCTCCATAGGGCAGGGGTAATAGAATCCATTAAGCTTTGTTTCAGTGGTACTGTGTGAGTTCCTGTAATAATCTGCAGCAGATCCTCCTGTGTTTTACAGATGACAGTACAGCTACAGCTCTACCACTTTCATAAGAACAATTTGGATTCATTGGGTTTATCGTATAGATTCTTGTTTTAATATAATATTTGACGGCCACTCTTCCACTGAGGCCGTTCTAGTACAATTTCAGCAACTAGCAGACAAATCAACTTGAAGGGAAATCACCTTATTGGAGTAAAAATACAATGTTATGCTAGTCAAACTTTGGTAGAAGTAACCGAAATAAATAAATAAATAAATAAATAAATAAATAAATAAATAAATAAATAAATAAATAAATAGACAAAGTGTTTTTGCAACAGACCGACAGTAACCAAATTCATCAAATCACCATATAAACTTCTTCTTTTTCTTTTGGCAGCTGCCTTCTGCAGGGGTCACCCCAGTTAACCACAGTTTGTTTTACACCACATGTCCTTTCTGATGCAACCTGGACTTGAACCAGCAGCCTCGGTATTACAAGACCGTCAAACTGACCACCGAGCTACCACAGCCATCAAAACGTTTGTCTGGTTAAATAAATGGTTTGTGAAAAGTAAACAACATAAGCGTATTTTTAAACAGTTCAGAGGTCAGTGCTGATGGTCACAAACAAAACTTTTTATCTCTCTGGAGTAAAATATAGAAAATAAGACTAATTATTTTATAGTGTACCTACAGCTGAGGACTGACACCTAGCTGTTTCTTTTAAACAGTTTACACCACACATCTTAGAGTTTCACTTCCTCCTTCACTGAATTAATCAGATTCAGAGTCAAACACCCACTGTGTGTCACCATGACAACACGCCACAAACTGTTCACTCACTCCCTCACTGCATCGTGTTCATTAAATAGCAGACTAATAGGGGGATGGCTCAGTGGTTTTTTTGCATTTCGAACACTACTTGAGCGCAGCGGTGCTTCATAAATATGCACAGAGTATTCACAGTCAGGTGTCGCATAAATGAACGCCAGCGAGGAAACACGCCTGCATCGGAGATAGACTGCATTCGTTTTTAGCTCTGGCTGAAAAATTTTAATTATTATTAATATTATTATTATTTTAATTATCCTTTACCATTACACAGACACAATATTTATTAGCAATATAACTGATTATCTAAATGTTTTGTTATATTGTATTATTTTACACAACCATAATCTGCAGCTGTTACTATATTGTTACAGTCAATACAATAAAATTATTATTTGTAAAAAAAAAAAATCTGCAGCAAACAGTTGTTTTACAGTT